TATATATATATATATATTTACACACGACATACACACAATACACATAAACTTACATACATAAGTACTACATACACAAATACAGTGTTCTATGCTATTATGAATACGAGTATGAATGGTACCACAAATCAGTGTTATTCCCTTTCTTTTTAATCTAAAATTTTTATCTAATATTTTTTGGAATTTTCAATGAAATTCTAGATATATTTAATACATAACAGAAGCTAACTTATTTTGAAGCTATTGTTATATTCATATATTTATATTTTTTATATATGAATGGCATTGAAAATGTGGTATCACATTGATAACACGAGTATTGGAGAATATACCGATGATGTGATTTCACATTAGTTGCAATCTAAATAACAGATTGCTAAACTTTTTTCTTGTACGTTGAAATGATCCTTCCATTTAGTACATATTCGTATACTTCCTCTTTTACAAAAAGGTTAAGAGGTAACATATCTTTTAAATAAGTTTCAACAAATGTATATTTATATATTTTATTTACTTTTATTGTAAAACAAATTTGTAAATATCTTCAAAAATTTGAATGTCTTATTTGCAGTCATCATTGCGTATTGTTTAATTGTGAATTTTCATATTTCAGATAAAAAAACTTCTATTTTTAAATGGTATATTATACTTATTTAAAAGATACGTGATACATATTTAGAGTTATACGCATTACTAACGGATGAAATTGAAAGTAAATTATAGTACATACGAGTTTGACATCTTTTAGTTAGGTCATAAATCGCCTGTTTTTAAAAGTTTTGTTAACAGAACACTGTAAAATACCATTTTTTTAAGTGTACCATACGTGAGAAGAATGAACTTATTTATGAAATAATATTGATTTTTAAAAAAGTGAAAACAATGGACAGTTATTTTGTTAGGCATTTTTTTTCTCTCAGTTATAAATATTTGGCTCGCGGTAACTTGTTAAATAACAAAAAAAGTATAACTATTATTATTATCCTTATATTTTTTATCATCGTCGTCATCACCATCATCATCATTATCATTATCATTATTATTATTATTATTATTATTATTATTATTATTAATATTAATATTATTATTATTATTATTATATTGTAGTCGCATAAGTAGAATTAGGTTTGAGCTCTCTACTAATTCTGAAACTAGAGCATATTTTTTATAATTATTAGGATTGAGAAATCGAGTATTGCTATTATATATATTTATATATAAACATACGTGCGCGCGCGCGCGCGCGCGCGTACACACACACACACACACACACATACACATATACACACACACACTTTTAATATATCGATTTCATTAAACGTTAACGATATAACAATCCTTTTTAAATAAGAATTAGTTGCAAAAGCGCCACTTGTCACGATTCGTTTTTTTTTTTAACAATGAGAACGAAAGAAAAAAAAGCTGAGGCTTCTTATAGATTTTTTTTTTTTTATATATCAGTATTCTACGCGTTTGATTTTAGCTGTTAAGAGTTTTAACCAACACTACTTAAAGAAATCCCCGACGGCGAGATTTGTCTTACTTAATTATTAAATTATTTAGTTATCTTTCCTCCTATGTCCCTATTGTGTCCCATTACCCTTATTTTCCCTCATCCTTTCCCCACGTCCTTGTTTTGTACGTCTATTTTTACATAAGCGACCATCCCCTAAGTAATTATTTAAACTATAATTTATTGTACTCACCATTTTTTTGCACCAACGTTTATGTAAGACATCTTTTTTTTTCTTTTTGGCAACGACTGGCTTAATTTATTGTTTCTACGTTGTACTTTATACGAGTTTCGCTCTCTTTTTCCCTTCTTCTTTCTTTCTTTTTTTCTCTCTCTCTCTCTCTCTCTTTCTTTTCCTTTATTCTTCGTTTATTTTGTAAAAAAAGAGAAACAAAACATTTACACACATCAGTTAATAATGATCAGGCAGTATGCATATGGTCATTCCCTCATTTTCTGCGAGACACACTCGGTTTTATGCGGTACGAGATGCGGACGGTCAATGCTTTAGGTGCCTTCGCCTGGAGATTTTGTTGAATACGTGTACAACTACAACGCGTCTACGGCGCCGTTTATTGTAACTAGTAGTTTCTGTTTTCGATCCATTCGCTTTCTTCCCCGTTTTTGCGAAACACGTGTGCCTCTACAATTAATATTACTAATATTTCTTCAATTTCAAATCGCTTATTAATAGGTACAAAGAAGGGGGAAAAAAAAGAAAGAAAAATGGTCAATGATGATCTGATCATGCAGACTGTCCCAAATTTAAAT